AACTTATCTGACTCTCATATATTGAACCACAGTCTACATATAAACCTATGGATGCCGTGGGAGTCTGAAGAACAAGAATTGACATCAATTTATTTAAATTTTAGACTTCTTCCATGTATTACAATTTAAATTTTAGTGTCTGAAGAACTAAATATAAATAAATAAAGATGTTATAATTAAAGAAATAAGAATCATAAAAGATATTATAGATATGATTCTTACATCTGTACTGTATTAGACAATATAAAATCAACAATTCATACCGCGGATGTTTCAGAGGCCACTTTGACTCCATTTGGGAGTGTAGTAATAATAGTTTTACCCGGCGCAACATAATCTGGCAATGGAGGAGAATGTATAACACCTGGAAGCGGAAAATCAAGGGGTGTAGCAGAATTGGATCGGTCGCCGGTGAGCCATCCAAACAAACCACCCAAACCAGAAGAGGATTGTTTTTTGACAACAGAACTTGAACTTGCAAATCTGACAGGCAACCTGCTGCATGAACGGGCCTATCAAAGATAAAAACAATCAGACAATCACTTAAAATCAAACTCATAATATTAAACTTTAAGGCACACTAAATCAATTGAATAATATTTGAACCAAAAAACACAGCCAAATCATAGACAAAATCTGTAATAAAATATAAACTGTTTAAGCTATTCAGCTACAAGCTAAAGTAATAAACAGGAATTGCACACATAGGCAAGTGAAGTTCAATCCTAATGAAGTGGTTGTTAAACAACACACTAGAATCGAGGGATAGTCAATTGAATAAAAAAAACAGTATCGATTTAGTTTGTAATTAAAAGTGAGATAAAGAGGAGATCTAGGGAACCCAATAATAACAGATAACATTCGAAAGGAAATGAGAAGATACCAACCCTAATGGTCCTGAGACGTGAAGCAACATTCCTGAACATGACTGATGGACAGTTCAAAACCAGACAATAGCTGAGTTGTTTGATTATTTGATTACTTTGTTCTGTTAAGTCAGAGAAGAGAAGCAACTTGTTTTAGGTTTCAGGGGTTTAGTTTAACTATTGTTCCATTAGTTCTGTCTGGTTTTAGTATCTGCTATACACTTTTCAAATATGGGCTATAGGGACGAGCCCATAACATCATCCCATGTTACAGTACAAATTATTATCTTTTACCCTAATTTAACTAATAAGCCCAAAGTTATTATCTCATTTTTATTAAAAATGAATTATTATAATTTTATTAGTATAAGTTATATAAACTGTATATTTTAAATTTTTTAATATTTAAAAATAAAAACAACAATTACGTAATTATTAGAAGTTTGAGTATAATTTTATAACATATAATCATAATATGTTAGTGATTTCTTCAATACGTCTTTTTCTTCTTCTTTTTTGTTAATCATGTTTATTATTTTTTTATAATCAAATACTAAAATAATCTATTATTCTAGCTCGTTAAAATAAAATAAAAATCCAATACAGATGTTTAAAATAAATAAATATCTTTATATATACATAAATAAGAGAGAAAAAATGTCTTTAAAAGTGACAAAGTTATACAATTTTTTTTACGAGCAAACAACAAACTTTTTACTTTTTTTTTCTCTTTATTTATATAAATTCATATTCATTTGTGTCAATAACAACTAGTCTTACCTTAATAAAGAGATTGACTATAAACACAACACTTTGTATAATATAAAAACAATACTTGTTTAAAAAGAACTTAAAGGAATACTCGAGTTAAATCAAATCGTAACTTATATAGAAAAAAGAAATGAGTTCTTTGTCAAAATTGATAAGAAATCAAGTAAATACAATGAATGAATTAAAATCTCACCCTAACAAAGTTTTATTTATGGAGAAATTGATTTATTTTTATTTTTTTAAATAATGTTTATATATAAATTTCTCGAAAAATTAAAATTTATATTCTAAGATTTCTCGATGTCCATCTAGATTTGTTCCATGTAAAAAAAATTAAGATATTAATTGTATCAATCCTTACTTATTAATTAAAACCAAATATTATGAATTATATAAATTTATCTATGTATTTTTAAAATTATTGTTTTGATTAACAACAAATCCTTAATTTTTAATTAAAACCAAATATTATGAATTATTTAAATTTAGCTATGTATTTTTAAAATAATTGTTTCGATTATCATTTGTTGTTGAAATACATTTTAAAGTGTTATACATATATATATATATATATATATATATATATATATATATATATATAATTTAATCACAAATCATTATAATTATAGTTTGAATTTGTTACTTTTATTGTGAAGGTTAAATATGAGACATGTTTTAAGGTCATCATTCTACCACTATTTTATTTTTTATGAATGATAAATACTTCGCAAATCACATATATTTTAAGTATTTATCAAGTACAATAAATCAATTAAGTATTTTAGTATAAACTTAATGATATCATATTTATTAATGGTCAGAAATAATAAATGTTATGGATTAATTTGGTGTATATATACATTTTGCATAGTGAATTTAATTATAGATATATTTTTGTTTATTTGTCATTCACAATATATCATATACATTATTATTTTATTTAGTAAATGACAAGATGTGTCATTAAAAGGAAATTAAAGATATATTATAATATTAATTAAAATTAAGTTGAATCATTTGTGATATAAAAGGAATCTTATTAGTGAACAACTTACCACATGATAATAACTTGATATATGCAATTAAATTTTAATATTGAATTTTAGTAAGCTTAATAGGATAATATTAAATTATTTTGATTTAATATTAACTTATGTAATTTATAAAATAACTTAAATGTAAATATTTTGTGATAATTATTAAATTATAAATATATTAAAATCATAATAAATATTTTAAACGTTAACAATAGAAAAAAATTATACCATAATATCATAATGAGCATTTTACACGAAAGTCATTAAAAAATATATCAAAGAGACATTTCACATTCTTTAACCTTTTGACATATAGCATATCAAGGTAAAATATATAGAAGAAAGCGGGAAGGTTTTACCAAAATTTATAAGACATTAAGCAAACATAATATATTGATTAAAATCTCATCCAACAAAGTTTATTTATGAAAAAAATGGTTTATTTTTATTTTTTTCTTAATAATACTTATAGATAAATTTCTGGAAACAAATTCAAAGTTATTTTGTAACGATGTAGATGCCCATATAAAAAAAATAAAAATAAAGATATTGTATCTATCCCTAATTATTAAGTAATTAAAAAATAAATATTAATTAAGTATTTACTATTATTATTATCATAATATATATAATTTAATCACAAATATTAGTAATTATCATGGTTGGATCGAGAATCGATGCCATAATCGGTCTAGAGTTATCTAAAAATCGGATAAATAATAAACTGGTCAAACATAAAAAAAACCGATGAAATCGGACAGGTCAAGAGGTGGTTTTTTTTTTTTTAAATAGCTAAATGACGTTATTTTATTCTATATTTTTTTCTTTAGTTTAACATAAAGACATAAATGTGAAAAAAAAATGTTTTTTTATAGTGGTTGTGATATTCTTCTTTTATTATAATCTTCTTTCTTACAACTGTACCATCACTATCTACTATCTTTGATTATTTCCTTCTGGTTTTACCCTTGTTGTCATCTATTATTATCATTATTACAATCATCTATGAAAATCATTTATGAAAATACAATAATATATAAGAATGACAATCTCTTAATTTCAAAAATTAAATTGATGAGTGGACAATAAGTTACCCTTGAGTTCCACAATCATGACTTGAAATAAAATAAAATATATAAATTTTGAAATTAGATGCAATAGAAGATATGGTGCAATTTTTCCCCTTAATTATTTTTAAGTTATATATAATTTTTTTCTAATTATTTTTTTTATCTAATTATTTTTAAATTAGGTATAGCGATAAAATTTTTTTAGTTACTTTGTACTCCAAATATTTGATAATATGCTTATTCATATTATTTTTTATATATATTTTTTAAAAATTATTCTTATTATTATATCATATTTTTTGAAATAATATTTATTATTTTTATTATTATATCATACTTTTTGAAATAACATTTATTATTTTTATTTAGAAATAATATTTATATTGGATTGAAATTATTATTATATTGTGATAAACTTATTTTAAGTTTAATATATAATTATATTATTAAAATATATTATTTTATTAAATCCGATTTAATTTTTCGTTAAATCCGTTTGAATCTTAAATTCATATGATCCAACGATTTAATGATCAACCTAGTTTTAAGAACCATGATAATTAAAAATAAAATGATAAAGTAATTACTAATATCATAAATTAATTTTTCATACTTATCTATATAAAAATATACAGATTGAAAATAAAAATAATTTATAAAGAAAGTGAAGTTAGAAGTAAAACATATACATTTGAATATAACTTTCCAATGTTAGAAAGAAACATGAGAAGATGTTGGAGTATAAAATATATCTATATATAATAAAAAATAAAATAAAAAGTATCACATCTATTTATTTTCATTTCTAGTTAATTTTGTGTGTGGGTAATTTAGCTAAACAAACAAGAATGGTCGCTGGCACCTTCTCCAAAACATGATGCTCGTGGACTATAATTTCCAAGTCTGGTAGTCAAAGACCTCTTCTACTTTCATTGTCTTTTTTCTTTTTCAACCGTGAAATCACAATTTGCTATTTAATTCAACGCCAAAACCAACCCTCACCTTCGGGGAACCTCCTTTTGGACTCCCTCATGTAAGCCACTCTCTATTTATTATGTTTCTATTTCATTATTATCACTCATTCATTGATTTCACATTGATGAACCACACCTCTGCTCTACTATAAATAAACAACAACACATTTCTCTCATCCACTCCTTACACCTTAATTTCACGCCTCATTTCTTTTCTCCTTCGCAAACACAACACAACAACACGACCTCTTCTCTCTACACACTGTTCCGTACAACAACATCATGGGTTCCTCGCCCAATTCAAAGCCTAAGATCGTCAGAGGCACCGCAGGTTATGTCTTGGAAGATGTTCCACATTTGGCTGATTACATCCCTGACCTTCCAGTACGTCGTCGCCGTCGTTCACCACTTTTTACCTCTCTCCTACGTCCTCTTAAAACTTGCTTCGTCTCCACCACATAGCTTTTTTTCCACTTTCTCTTCATCTCTCTGTAACTTTATTTACTTAAATTCTATATTAATGTATCATTTTTGTGTAACTCTCTCGCAGACATATTCTAATCCTTTGCAGAACAATCCTGCTTACTCAGTTGTCAAGTAAGTTTCATATTTCCATCTCTTCTCTCTCTTTTTTTTCTTTTATACTTTTTTACGTTTACTTTGTCTCATAGTTTTAATTTACTTGCCACTTCTCAGGCAGTATTTCGTTCACGTCGATGATAGTGTTCCGCAGAAGGTTAGATTTTATTTTGTTTTACTTTTTTCCGGTGAATTTTCGTTCTCTCTGAAGAACTTTCCTGGATTATTTTATCTCACATTAACCAAACGTGCACTGATTCGAACATCATATGTGTTACAGAAATTGGAATTTAAATTGTCTTCGGAATCTTATAATAATAAATTATAAAACCTATGTCGTTATGAGTATATGCCTCAAGAATACACGATTTCTCCGAATATGGAACATCATCGAATCCTAGTTATTGAAAAAAAGTAACCACATGGAATGGACATTAATACATGTTACTGATTGATACCGTCGCGTTAATCTGATATAATCTTGTAATAAAGTACGAAACCTATGTCACACTAATTCACGTTTTCTCCAAGCTAGTATGGACATCATCGGATCACGGTTGGACTGATTTAAATTGAATTGGAAAAACGGTGATAGGTTCTGGTACAAGTTTCTAGTTCCAATTTAACCACTGGTGCATTAATTTATGTGATTTTTCTTTTTAATTTCATGACAGATAATTGCGAATAAAGATAGTCCAAGAGGGATACATTTTCGGCGTGCCGGACCTCGTCAGAAGGTACATATGTTTCGGTGTGTTGCTTTATCTTTCGAGGTACCATTTTGATGTTTGTGACCGTGTGATGCTGGATATTCAGGTGTATTTCGAAGCAGATGATGTTCAGGCTGCTATTGTGACATGTGGTGGTCTATGTCCTGGCCTAAACACCGTGATTAGGGAACTAGTATGTGCATTGTATCACATGTATGGTGTGAAAAAAGTTTTGGGAATCAATGTAAGTAGATCTTATGGACTTGTAATTTTGATGACTTTCCAAACAAACTCGTTTTCTGCTGTTGATTGGAAAGTCAATGAATGTAAAACAATGCAATTGTAAATGCGATCTTGTACTGGAACAGAAAAAAATTTATAATAATTCTAATCACTTGATTTTTATTTACTCTCGTTACCTAAAAAAGATCTTGTGATTTGAAGGGAGGATACAAGGGTTTCTATGCACACAATACCATATCTCTAACCCCTAAAAGCGTGAATGATATACATAAGCGAGGGGGAACTATCCTTGGTTCATCAAGAGGTGGACATGACACCACTAAGATAGTTGACAGTATTCAAGATCGGGGAATCAATCAGGTCTGTATCTCATACTCTCTATTAAAACATATAACTTCACTTGGAATGTATTAGTCAAACTATTTGATCAATTTCAGGTTTTTATAATTGGAGGAGATGGTACTCAGAGGGGTGCAGATAGAATTTTTGAGGTATATATACCTTTAATATCGAGGATATTAGACTATTGGGTTTAGGAACACACATACTTCGATGTTGATATTTGACATCTGTGATTACGAAATTGATTGATGAAAGTAGCAATTTATTAACAATGCATCCTGATTGTCGCGCAGGAAATTAGAAGGCGTCGTCTCAAAGTTGCAGTAGTAGGAATCCCGAAAACCATAGATAATGACATCCCGGTACATCACTTTTTTCCCCACCTTTCTATTCCATGTGGTGGATAGCAGTTCTTCCAGTTATTGCTCAGTATCCCTTTAGCGTCATTAACTTGTAAAATGGATTTATGTTGTCTCTTGCTCTGTAGGTTATTGATAAGTCCTTCGGCTTTGACACAGCTGTTGAGGAGGCTCAACGTGCTATAAATGCTGCACATGTTGAGGCTGAAAGTGGTGAAAATGGCATAGGTGTTGTCAAGCTGATGGGCCGGTACAGTGGTAAGTTTCTTGTAGGCCTGTAATTCCTCCACTGATCAGATTAAGCATTTGCATCCTGTACTTCAATGGCATAGCTATGTTAAACTGTTTTCTTTATCAAGCCTAACCTCCCTTCAAATATGCTTTATTGTGGATTCATGGCGCAGGGTTTATTGCAATGTATGCTACTCTGGCTAGTAGGGATGTGGACTGTTGTTTAATTCCAGAGTCACCCTTTTACCTTGAAGGTCCTGGTGGACTTTTTGAGTTTGCAGAGAAAAGGCTAAAAGAAAACGGCCACATGGTTATTGTGATTGCTGAAGGGGCAGGACAGGAACTGGTTTCTGAGAGTATCCAATCCATGCACAAGCAGGATGCTTCCGGAAACAAACTTCTTCAAGATGTTGGGCTTTGGATATCCCAAAAGATAAAGGTGTGGATTGTTATTTATGCTGGATATCTCAAATGTGACTTTTGACGGCGTTATCCTATTCATTTTTCTTTATTTCAGATTTTGGTTAAGCTTAGCTTGCATGTTCAAAACAAAGTTCAGTGTCCACTTGATGGATTTAAAATGTTGTCCATCGTTTTTGGTTTTCAATTGATGATTTCTTTATAAATCCTTGGAAAATTTGTTCTAAAGAAGCATTCCCATTTGCACTTGGTTTATCCGAATCTAAAAAACTGACAGGCTTGAAGGATCACGTGGAGGACACATGATAGCTGATGGATGTGTAGTGTGACAAAATATGCTTAATTATTTTCTAATTGAAGAAATTATTTATGAAGAAGTTCTCAATAGCTTATCTTAAGTACGTTGAATCTTTGATCTTGCAGGAGTATTTTACCAAGCAGAAGACAATGAACATAAATCTCAAATATATAGGTTTGTAAACATAAAAATTAAATAACTATGTGCATGTGTATATGTGTACATCTACAAATACATTCATGTATGCATACTAAAAAGGATGAAATACCAAGCATTGTACTTCTTTTTACTATTTGACAGATCCAACGTATATGATCCGAGCTGTTCCAAGCAATGCTTCTGACAACGTGTACTGCACACTTCTTGCTCAAAGTGCTGTTCATGGAGCCATGGCAGGTTACACCGGCTTTACCAGTGGGCTTGTCAATGGAAGGCAAACGTACATACCCTTTTATGTGAGTTAGTTGATATTATTGGTTCTGCTTCTGCAGCATAGACATGATTAATTTGTTCAAACTTAATGAATTCATTAAACTTTTCAATTTGAAGTAATTTTTCAAGTCATGAGATGAATTAACTTGTAATGCAGAGAATCATCGAGGGCCAGAACAAAGTAGTCATAACTGATAGAATGTGGGCTAGGCTTTTGTCTTCAACAAATCAACCCAGCTTTACGATTTGTAAGAGTGTCACTGAAGAAAAGAGGGAAGAAGAAACAACCGGGGAGCAGTAAGGGCATTGTTCAAATACCATTTGGCTTACAAAGAAGTCAGCAACATTTTTCACCCTGCAATGTACATGATGTTACTATATTCGTTGTATCTTTTATATCTTGCATTGTAATTTGTAAGTAGTATTTATTTGAGTTACCTTCTTCCCCTTCCATGTCCAAAAGATGGCTGTGGAAAGTCAGTATTACACGAGGAAGGAAGAAATTCATTGTATTATTCTTTTATTATGCACAGTAAGTAGTACATATATGAGTATTTTTTTTTCCTTATTATGCATTATAAGCTTAGCACTGTAATATGTGAAAAGTATATAATCATTACATCAATTCATTAAATTCTACAAGTACTCGCGAAAAAGTTTAATTTAAGTGGAATTTATATATATGATTGAATTGATATACCAAGTTTCAACAAATGTGTGGTTATTACTTTCATAAATGGTTCCTTCACGCGTATTTGAATACTTCAACGTTCAACGGCTGAGTATGAATATGCACTGCATCTATCACTGGTAGTATTTGGTAAACATTTTGAAAAGAGAAATAAAAAAGCTTTAATATTTTTTTATTCCCTGTCGTTTGGAAATAATTCTAGGGTCTTTATTTTGTAATTATGTTATGGCCGATGTGGACTAAAAGTAGCTTATTTCTAAATTAGGAGATAAAATTAACCTAAATTTGAGAGATGAAAACCATATTTAAATTGAAAAAAAGTCAACGATGTATGGCCACAGTATGCCACTTCTAATATTAGAAAAATCAAGTGTAGAAACCCCCTTTCTCAGGGAAAGTCAGAACCAACTTGTACGAGAATTCAATGCATGTTGATGGTGGAACCGGATGAAGCAGCATCGTGACTTCCTAATTTATCTTTGTCTTTGTTACGAAAGTCAATTGTAATTATTGTAGCAATATTGGAGGATTGTTTTTCATTCATTGTTACTTTTTTCCTCTCCTATAATTTCCACCAATGTCTTGTTTCATTTATATGTAATATTATGCCTTTTTTTTTTTTAGAGTTGAAAAATCAATATCAGTAGCTTTTGACACGTTTCAATTATATTTACCAGCTTAAAATCAATTTCATTCACCATAAACCCGAACAAGCCTTAATAAAAATTTGAAAATGTCACTTTACTGTACTAGCTCAAAATATGAATTTTAATGTGAAAAGATGTTGTTCTAGTCAAGGTTGAGAAAATAGGATATTAAGAGGATTTCCTTTTACGTTCTTCCACCCACACTTAGACAAGTGGCAACTTGAATATAAGACTTAACTGAGTCAAAATTCAATTTTATGCAACTTTATCAACTTCTTAATATTAACACAATTTTTTAGTTACGTAGATTCAAAGCAACTCCTATAATTTTCTTCTTCAATTATTTTTCATAAAAACGTATTGAAAAAAAAATATTAACTTTCTTCAATTTAGACTACGATGTTTCATGAGAAATATTCCTATTTGAATTAAAAATGTTAGGGTAATTCTAAGAAGCTTTTACTATATATAAAATTATTAAAAGTTATTAAAAATATCATTTTTTATTATTATTGTACCGAAAAGTTGTAAAAACATGTTTATAGATAAATTTACTTCATGTATTATTGTATATTATTAAAGCATAATAAAGGAATTAATTGTTGGGAAATAAGGTCGGATAAGATGGAATAATAATAATACACCAATGTGAGATCAATAAAAGACACGAATATTTGTTAACCTGAGTTCGGATTAAATCCTACATCACGAGGCGAACCAAGCCAGGAGAATGAACTAGAATAAGAGGATAAGCCAGAATGTTACAATTCACATGGCCTAGTATGAATACACTCTCTCTACTCTTTCTTCACACTTGGATTGGATACAAATGAGGTTACAAAATGAGGTATTTATAGCCAAACAAATCCTTCTTGAGAGGAAGCTCCTTCCTTTGACCAGGAAGTTGCAAGGAAGTAGCCTTCCTTTGACCAGGAAGTTGCAAGGAAGTAGCCTTCCTTTGACCAGGAACTTACGAGGAAGTTCCCTATCTTTGACCAGGAAGTTGCAAGGAAGCTCCCTTCCTTTGACCAGGAAGTTGCAAGGAAGTTCCCTATCTTTGACCAGGAAGTTGCAAGGAAGCTCCCTTCCTTTGACCAGGAAGTTGCAAGGAAGTAGCCTTCCTTTGACCGATCTTTACACCTCAACAATCTCCCACTTGAAGATTGGTCAACCTGTTCATCTCTGCTCTTGGTTCTCGCTAAGTCCTGCTGTTTTAATCATCAAGGCCGGTCGAAGCTACACACGGCTTCAACTTTTCCAAAGTTACCGCCTTGTACCGTTTTGTTCCATCCGATTCCTCCTTGACCCGATAGACCCATCTGTTTTGAAGAGCCTTCTTTCCTTGTGGGAGATCACACAAATCCCATGTGTGGTTCTTCTTCAACGAGTTCATCTCGTCTTCCATCGCAAGCTCCCACTTGCTCTTGTGGGCATCTTTAGCGCCTGCTGCATAACGATCGGGTTCCCAGAATCGGATAAAAGTAGGTAATAAAGAGAAGGGAGTACCTATCCGGGGCCCTTCTCATCCTCGGTTCTCGGCCCGGTGCGAGGCGTCTTGCTCTCGGCAATCGGTTCATCGATTACGGTTACGCCTCTTCTTACGTACGCTCGATCTCATCTATCCGAGCTCCCACTTGTATCTGTCTGGTCTCATGATTCCGGTATTTGAAATATCGAGACCAACATACTCCTGCATGGTCTTGTCATCGTCCGGTATTCCTTCGGTCCTTGTACATTATGCCTTCATTGAACACCACATTACGATTGCCGAATAATTTTCCGATTTTGATCATCCCAAAATCTATACCCAAATTCGCTGAGTCCCATATCCAATGAATGTACATTTGACGGACTTAGCATCCGGCTTTGTCCGGTCGTCATTCAAAACGTAAGCCAAACAACCAAAGGTACGTAAGAAAGAGAGATCAACTTTCTTACCACTCCGGACCTCTTCCGGAATTTTGTTGTTCGGTGGGACGAGAAGGCCCCGGTTGATCAAGAAAGCGGCCGTCTTGGCTCGCTTCGCCCAAAACATCTTGGGCGAGTCCACTCTTCAATCGCATGCATCTCGCACGCTCATTCGGTGTTTTGTTCATCCTCTCCGCAATGCCATTTTGTTGAGGTGTCCACAGGGACCGTCTTACGCATCCGGATCCCATGATCGGCGCGGTATTCTTTGATGGCTTCACTGTTGTACTCGCCACCGTTGTCGGATCCGAGACATTTCACTTCCGAGACTGTCTCTTTCTCCACGAGTGCTCTCCATCTCCTGAAAGTATCAAAGGCTTCGGATTTTCTTTTCAAAAAGTACACCCATACCTTTCTTGTGCGGTCATCGACGAACGTCATGTAGTACATCGATCCTCCAAGAGATGTCACCGGTCTTGGCCCCCATAAGTCGGTGTGCACGAGCTCCGGTTTTTCCGTCTTTGGAGCTCTTCCGGTGGTTATGAAGCTCACTCGCTACGCTTTCCAAGCACGCATTGCTCGCAGAGACCCACGTCCACCGACTCCAACTCGGGCAAAAGTCCTCTCGACTTTAGTACCTTCATTCCTTTTTCGCTCATGTGGCCCAAGCGGCTGTGCCATAAGTGCGATTGTGAGACAACTCCTGCCGGGAGAATGTTTGAGCTGGATCTACTCGCCGTGTAAAGCGTTCACGACTTCGACCCTCTTGCCAAAGTCATAGCTCCTCGGTGACCTTCCACTTTCCAGTCTCCAAACATTGTGTGGAAGCCGTCATTGTCTAGTCTGTCCAAGCGAGATGAGATTCCTCTTCGGTCCTGGAATGTGTCTCACATCACGTAGGGTCCAACATGACCCATTTGCGGACTTGATCCGCACATCTCCCTTCCCTACAATTTTTAAGGATTTGTTGTACGCAAGATATACCAAGCCAAAATCACTGCGGTGTATGGCTCCATGATGTCTCTGCTCTCGCATGAGTGAAATGAGGCCCCCGAGTCCACGATCCGGTCATCGAGCGAGCTTCTCACACTCAGCAAGAGTGCATCCGCCGTGTCCTCCGTCGCGGCATTGGCTCGTCCGGCCTTCTTTGTCTTTCCTTGGTGCCGGCATTCGCTTTTCATATGCCCGGGCTTCTCGCGGTTCCAACACACCATCTCTTTCTTGCCTTTATTCCTTCCCCGGATTTTGACCTCCCACGGATTTTCCCTCGTGTTTCGGGTCTCCCTACGGACTCGTATGTAGGGCTGAGCCAGACGACCCACCCGCTGATTCTGCGGGTCTCCTCGTTCAACATCATATCTCTTATGTTGTCGAACTTCATCTTCTCCTTGCCGGAAGAAGTGCTCACCGAAGTAACTGACCACGTCCCAAGCTGTCCAGGCAATGATGAGAGCAAGATTAGGGCTTTTACCTCATCATCAAACGAAATATCCACCGATGCCAAGCTGCGTAGTGAGTTGGTTGAAATCGTTGAGATGATCGGCCACCGACTTTCGCTCCTCCATTTGCAATTTGAACAGCTTTTTCATCGGCATCACCTTGTTTATTGCTTGATGGTTTTTCATACATGTCGGCGAGTATCCGCAAGACCTCCTTCGTGCTTTTGCTCCGCTTCACATGGTAGGCGACGTTCGAGAGAGCGAAAGAATTATAGCACTCATCGCCTTCCGATCGAGCACCTTCCATTCATCATCGCTCATCTTCTCGGGTTTTTCCCCAAGAGGTGCGTAGAGGTCCTTCCCGTACGGGTAAGCCTCCATTTGCATTCGCGAGAATCCAAAGTCGGAACCATTGAACCGTTCGACTTGAATCTTTCCCTCCATCTTATCTCCAACCTCCCGGCTCGATACCGAGTTGTTGGGAAATAAGGTCGGATAAGATGGAATAATAATAATACACCAATGTGAGATCAATAAAAGACACGAATATTTGTTAACCCGAGTTCGGATTAAATCCTACATCCGAGGGCGAACCAAGCCAGGAGAATGAACTAGAATAAGAGGATAAACCGAATGTTACAATTCACACAAGCCCGTATGAATACACTCTCTCTACTCTTTCTTCACACTTGGATTGGATACAAATGAGGTTACAAAATGAGGTATTTATAGCCAAACAAATCCTTCTTGAGAGGAAGCTCCCTTCCTTTGACCAGGAAGTTGCAAGGAAGTAGCCTTCCTTTGACCAGGAAGTTGCAAGGAAGTAGCCTTCCTTTGACCGAGGAACTTACGAGGAAGTTCCCTATCTTTGACCAGGAAGTTGCAAGGAAGCTCCTTCCTTTGATCAGGAAGTTGCAAGGAAGTTCCCTATCTTTGACCAGGAAGTTGCAAGGAAGCTCCCTTCCTTTGACCAGGAAGTTGCAAGGAAGTAGCCTTCCTTTGACCGATCTTTACACCTCAACATTAATAAATTATAAATAGAGAGATATTAAAATTAAATTACTTTCTTAATTGAGTTATACTTATACACAAAATGCAAATCGAGTTTAATAAATTGATTAAAGTGTATATTTTTTGACGTTACTACCAAATTAAAGTTAAAGAAAAACTGTATTAATCACCAAAATCTAACATTGATTCTTAAACGAAACAGTGATTGATTAAAAACTGCATTTGGTGAATGTGTTTGTGAAGGATCGATCGAATGGGAATCAGATTCGTGTTAATGGTGAACAAGCAAGGGCAGACTCGTCTTGCACAGTATTATGAGTACCTCACTCTGGAAGAAAGGCGAGCGCTTGAAGGCGAAATCGTTCGTAAATGCCTCGCCCGTAGCGATTACCAGGTATGTTTCCTTCACTCTTTTCTGCATTTTCAATTCTAACAATGCCAGATCAATTACTGCGATCTTAAGATCACACGTAACTAACTAAAGTAGTAATTTAACAATGAAAATTCCTGTTATAATTTTCTTGATTTTGAGAATGCATTATTGTATATGCAATATTGATATATAAATATGTACTATAAATTAACTTTCTATGGGTTATTATATGTTATATGTTCCTTATATTAATATTGCATTAGCATGGTGGCTACGGGATAATCAATAATGCATGAAAATAGCCATGTCAAGACTTTAAGATAGTTGTGTCTAAAAGGGGTACTGTAATCACACAAGAATATTGCTCCGTTACGTTATCCATTAATATCACTGTGACTTTAGTTTTGCCTTGTTACATTTTTCATCAGTATAATTGATTATTGTTGTTGTTGTTCACTGGTAATTGATTTACGTGGTTATAGCTGATGCATTTTCGTCGTGGACAGTGTTCATTTGTTGAGCATCGCAAGTATAAAATTGTGTATAGACGCTATGCATCTCTGTTTTTCCTGGTTGGAGTCGATAATGAGGAGGTAAATCAAATTATTGTTTAATATTTCTCATTCTCAACCGATTCAAACAATGTTTAAACTAGTGCTTTGATCACATTTGCTCGTAGCTTCAACAAAGTTTAAACTTATCACAATTCTGGTAAATATGATAGCATTTGAAAACCTGCTTCCGTTAGACTGTTCATTCTACCTTCTGTGGATAATTTTGCAGAACGAGCTTGCTATTTTGGAGTTTATACATCTTTTAGTCGAAACAATGGATCGACACTTCGGCAATGTGGTAAGTCCTGCTGTGATTAGTCTCTGGAGTTTTATTTTGTCTTCCGCCAAACTTTCCAAATGTCCTTTCTTCCTTGCATTTCCTGATCTTAGCTTCAACATTTATTGTATGCACTTAAATTTGCAGTGTGAGCTAGATATCATGTTTCATTTGGAAAAGGTTCATTTTATGTTGGAGGAAATGGTCGTGAATGGTTGCATTGTGGAGACAAACAAGGCAAATATTCTGGCTCCAATTCAACTTATGGATAAAAGTTCTTAAGAGAAGCATTCCTGGTAATTTTTAGATTAATATCGGCTCTTAATTATTTTACGTGTAAAATAAAGTGAATTGCAACAGTTAATCTTCAATTTTCTTTATCTATAACAACATCAAAGTTTTTCATTCACTTCAGTTTTCTCCCTCCTCCTTGCTTGCATTGAATTGACTATTGATTATGGGCTTAAAGGGTAAAAAAATCTTCCATGGTACTTGGCGTGAATTCCATACTCTCGATAGCATAAGCAATAAATCTCATCATCAGGGCTTAAAAACCTGTTCGACCAGTTGAGCTGTAACAGTTGGTAATGTAAGAAAGCTCCAACTTGAGGCCAAAGATGTAGTCCCTCGAGACTGGGGTTCAACTCTTCAGTTTTATCTTCTATATATTGAGAATTTCGTAGAAGCAATAATGTTTTAGTTGAAATTATAAATGACACAGAAGGATTTTGTTTTCTGCTTTTTTGGGTGGCTATTTCCTAAGGTAGCACAATGACCAATTCCCAAGTTGCTTATGCTAGCCGTAAGTTGGATGGAATTGTTTTCCTGTCACTTGTCTATTTCTAGCAATGCCTACTAAAAGTTACGCTAATAAGCATACTGGATAATTCAAAGATGAATTTGAATATTTCATAAAGGAAAAAATAATTGTCTTTAACCGTTTAAGCTTCATATGTTTATACAAGAAAAATTCAAGCTTGATCTTTTCCTCGCTTTAATGAATAAATCAACTTGGAACAACTTTTTTTCCACGTAAATTGGTCTGCCTCAATTATTAGACGTCTCTGTGTGACGTGTAAAGTACCCAGACTCTTTTTTGCAGTCTGTTCATAAATGTCATTTATCATAATGTACAGATATATTAAAAATAACATGTATATATATATATATATATATACACATGGAGAGAGAGGGAGGGACAGAGTGAATGTCCTTGAGCCAAAACAATGTGCATGTCTACTATCGTATATGCTGATTTATATTCGTTTTGTCCGTATATGTATGCATATCCAGCAGAAAGTGGTGACATTTTGCATAGGAGAATACGAAGTTTCACTGACTCGGCTAAGTACATTCACTTCATGTAAATCATGATGCATTGTATTTTTAAAGACTACGCTAACTACATATTTAATGCAAGTGACGTGCCAACATGTAATTGACTTAATGAAGACTATAAGCTCTCATACATGGTATAATCCATCACAATATTGATCATCATCTGTTATTCCCGCCCAGTACTTGTGTGATCTTATTTTAAAAGGGGGAGGTTAGAAATCCACATTTTCTTATTAATAAAAAATTATTCAAAATAACACAAAATGATAAATCTCGTATATTATATAGAAACGTAAGTTAGAAAATGTTTGTTACACTAAATCCACACCATCTTGTTTTAACAAACTGCCTGTTGTTACATGGATATTTTTAGAAAGCGGGATTGTTCATAAACTCGTTTGCTATCTTTAAAATTTCACTGCCGAGGTACAAACAAGTATAATGAGATAACAGAGACCAAGAAATTTCAGTCAGTATACATATTTTGACAGAAACCCAACCTTTACAGAAGGGCTGATGATCATCAAACAAGCAATATAATCAACCCACCCACACGCCACATTTTCCTGAACCTTTCCTAACCTTTATAAAATTTACACAATGCCACTTAGTGACAGCTCCCACCCATTTAAGCTTTACACTATAATAAATACAAAAGGGATGCAAAATACCGAGATAAAAAGAAAATCTTTCAAGAATTCCAGAATACGTTAGTGTCACTGCTATACAATGAGGGATCTTGTATTTCCTGGTTAGCTACATGACAATCAACCAGACGCGCTTGAATAATTTTACAGAGGGCCAGACCAGAAGGAAGTATCCACCATTCACTTTCATCCCTGAAATAGCCCACAGCATAACACAGATATTCAAAATGTTGTCAAATAGTGACAGAAAATAGATGTCTGGCATCCATTTTCATTATCTGCTAAAATTATTATTAATGCAAAAAGGTAAAGGCTACTTACATACTAAAACTCCAGGATTGAAAGGTGGAAAGCTTGTTATGTGAATGAATTGTATAATGTATAAATCCACAAAAGAAAGCTACCACCTGTTTTAAGAGACCAATTTATTGTCAAAGATTAAAACAAATACTTGGGAGAGCCTATTTGACACACTTTGAAAAATGAAATTGAAATACATCGAAAATTATGTACTAAATGTAAGTACGCAGGTAAACTAAATAAATAATAGCTACATTCCGAACTGCACCACATTAAAAACTAGTTTGAAACAAGTACAGCTTTAGCACAACTTACAACATTGACTAGGGACATCAGATTCCACAAAGCATACAGCCGAGCAAGCCCAGCAGACCGCTTAGGCCCCTGACTAAACAAAGCACTGATTCCAGATGGAAAAGGAAATAGAACACCGAGAGGAAGGACAAATAAAACTAAGAAGAAGCTCAACAGCGACAATGAGTACATCTGAAGTAAGGTGAGCAATACTAGGATAAAATCTCCCAGTAGTAGTATAGAGATAACCAGACCAACTAGATCCTGGAATAATACGAGTTAGAAATCGTCCATGGGATAACATACAGTTGACAAGGGAAATATTGTAATACCTGATGACCGATGGGCTTTGTATTATAAATAATAAAAGCAAACGGATAGTACATAGTTTTCTTCTCTTTAAGTGTTCTCAGGCTTTTGGCATGCAATATCCCACCGGACATCCTTCTAGGCATAATCAGGTGTTCATTGCTTGTCATGCGATGCATGGGGTTTCTAGGACTTGAAAGTAAACTGCATATATTAAAGCATAGAAACTTAGAAAGTAATTTCGAGTTCCATAAATTATCAACAAAAAAAATAATAAGTTACCATTACCATGTCTGCTTCTCAGTTATTCTTGAATCATCATAACCTTCACACGATGAGGACAGGCTTTCATTCTCGGTAGCATGTACGAGAATTCCAAATTGGCAATATCCAGATGCTGTAGGCTGAAACCATGCAAGATCAACACGTACCCCATATGTAGCCAACTTAGGGTTAGCATAACTATCAAGCCAACTGATGACAGGGCCAAAAGTTATTTTTAGATGTCCACGGCGAACCAAGCGTAATTGAGCATTAAGACCAGCTACTAATCGATACCATATAGTTGGTGGAACAGACTAAAGAGCAGAAAAACATAATAATCAGCCAACAAATAAACAGGATTTCACAAAAAGGCTAAATTTTTTAGTCGAGCAAACCTGACTCATGATGCTAGTAAGAATATTATCACTAAGAAGAGAGAAAGGACTCGTGTAACTTCCATCCCCTCCAAAAAGTATAGACATGGGAAATCTTTGATAAAGACGAGGAGGCAGATCAGGTCTTTTCTCATCCCCACCGAGAAAGAAATCCAGATATGCCAGCATCAGATCAGATGTTGCAGCTACCTGTAACATGACAGAGTAACTAACCATTGAAAGATTCTAATTTCCATTACAGAAAATCCCTGCATTTGACAGAGTAAGAAAATAATATAAAAACAACAGAAGATTCAAATGTTGCAAGTTCAAACCAACAAGAAAAACGTCCATTAAAGAAAACAGGTTTTAGATCTCCCTAAAACAAGCATCAACAGTAGTTAATTGGAACCATAAGTTGAACAGTATAATTAGTAGGAGGGAAATGATAGTGAGAAGTGTTTTGGTTTTGGAGTCAAATTTGGGAGAGAAAACTCTGGTCTCTCAAAGACTAGAGAAGTCTACAAGAGTTTTGTTTTTTGTACTAGCGTATCCACATTCCCCACATCTCTGATCTTGTATCTCGTTGATACAGATCCAGGGACAATCAGCTTCAATCTATAAACTCTGATCTACTTCTATCACAAAGTCAACTAAGGTATAAAGGAAGCCTCTTTAGCTTAAAGATATCTTAAACTATATGAATATATTGCAAATTAAGTTCAACAGGGCAGTAATGAATGAGCTGCAACATAAATTTAGTATGCCAGGACCCGAGAGCCCTAATTAAGGTAAGGAACAAAATCATAAAATTAAATATGAAGTACCTTCAGCCCTTCATACAGTGCTCGTGAACGGCAAGAACGCAAGCATGCATGATCATACTCTGATCGAACAAATTCTCGAAGTTTCTGTAATTTCTTTCTCCGACACCTTTGAAGCCATGACCAACCAAGGGGATACGCAATGACACAAAGAATACTATAAATAGACCCTTCCCACCAGTGATAAGTAGCTAAACTATTAATGTCATCCACAAATCTATTGAAGGCATCTTCATATCTGCAATATGAAGTAATATACTTAATAGTTAAAATGTTCAATTTTAATGCATAACATGAACTAAAAGCCTTTGGCAGGGAATGTTAAAAACTAAAATACTAAATACATTTACACCAAATGAGGATCAGTTATATTTTAATGAAAGAGAGGCTTACACAATATCTTTAACTTGCTCTGGAGGACAATGTGGTAGATGCCAAGGTTCACTGAATGTATTTGGACCCTGGAAATACAACCGGTGCACATGACTCTGAGATTCCTCACTTCTGTTTGTTTCCATAATCTGAAAGAAGAAAGAAAAACAAAGTTAAATGTGATTGTAACATTGAACCAAGTTCCAAAGGTGGTGACTGTCCATGAGATTCACAAGGAAGAAGTTGGTTATGGACCTCATTCAGTGATTCCAGAAAAGGAAAAGAGTGGTTCAATCGAGTGTCATTTCGAGCAGGTGTAACAGCTGGTAAATCATCCCCGGCTACATATTTCATTCTTGCGACACTGAGAACTATAGCAAGAAGGATAAGAAGACCCAACAGTAGAAGACCAAAAAGCCATGGCCCACCAAAAGTGTATACCAACTCTTCAAAAGCTGTATAACAGTTTGGCATGTGATATCTATCAGATAAGCATTTGTATGGACAGGGAGTCTCTGCTACACCACCTTTTGAAAAGGAAATGGGAAACCAAATCAATTGAAGTTTACGCAATAAATTTTATTAGGAACCCTTCTAAGTAAAAGGACAAACATAATTAACTTAGCCTTTACTCTTCCCTTCAGGGTGATAAAAGAAAACTAATTATTAACAATACCTCGAATAGGTATATAAATGGCACGATATGGAAGCTCATGAGGAGGGCAATCATGACAAAGAGCTCTATCAGACCCACTGACATTTTTATATGTACCAACAGGGCATTCCTGCAACACAATTAAATGCAAGCAACCAAGTAAAAGCAACTAAGAAGTTGATCTTTAAATTTCATCTCGTTTATAAAAATAGGAATTAAAAGATTTATTGACAAAATAATGTGAGTAAAAGAAAACAATCACAAAGAACTAGTCCTTGATGTTGAGGCACCTAATCCTCTATATCCTATTCCAACTACACAAATAATTACTGAAAATTGCAAAGGACGATTGTTAATCTACCTCACAAAAAATACCATAAAGCCCTCTGGGACAAGCAATTCCACTGATAGATCCATTTTTTCCAGGAAGACCCTGACCTCCACCAAATCCTCCTCTGTAATCAGAAAATAAACACTCAACCAAACTGGTCCAGATATATATATATACACATATATGAAACTTTATGCCCACATGTATGCACATGCCTATGACTTACACTAGCTAAAAACAACCCAAAACCCAAAAGAGTTGGATGGTATAATCAAGGTCTGGTGGATGATACATGTAAATTATGAACAATCAAAGCAATAGTTTTAAAGTACAACACACAATCCTTGCAAGTCGATTTAAGAAGCAATAACAGACAGCAGTGTAATTCTATGATTTCAAATTTACAGCCACAATCCCCTACCATAAAGAAAATTCCCAGTTTCTCCAACGTGTAACATATTCAAGTATACATCAATTTATCAACAGAGAATAACATTAGAAAATGCCTACAGTTAGAGACCAGTTGCTTAATCCAATAAGACAAAAGCAAAAGAAATTGTATTCAATACCACACCCAGAAATGGTATTCACAACACTAATTCGATAGTCATGAACCTGTTTCTAACTCTTCAACAATCAGATAATCCATGAACTAGGACAATCAAACAAATCATCTGTCAAAGCTGCTTACACCAAATGCAGTAGATTACAAGTATATTTTTCGATAATACCAACCCAGTAATAATGCTTCCCTTAACACTTGCTAGAGGGACATATTCATCTCCAACTAGAATATTAGACCAATGAAAGTGAACCCTTCCACCACCTCCACCCCCACCACCGCTAGGACCACCCTGTCCTCCAGCACTTGAGATTATAGAAGAGTCACCAAGTACCAAAGTCTGAACAAACAAAAGAACAGTTCCACCAGAACCCCCACCAGGACCAATGCTTGAAGTAATCCAACCATCCTTCCCTCTTGTGTCATCTCCAAAGCTTTCTCCATTAGCTCTAAGTGAGCCATTCAAAGTCAAACTTGACAATGAGTGCTCCAGTGAACCCATCACTGTCAAAGAAAAGAAATAATTATGTAAAATCACCCTTTCACCTAAAAACGCTGAGTAACTATTAGTTGTAGTCACAACTAAATTGTAATTCAGTCTTACCAATGATGCCACCACCCGCAGTTGCACCAGCTAGGCTATTATTTCCACTGCCACTACCAAGTTCACATGGCAAATCAACATCCCCATATGTGGAACCACCTTCAATGAAATTGCCATTATAATATCCATCCCCACCATATCCTCCATGTCCACCTCCACCACCAATTCCATTTTCAACATACCTTCCCCTACCTAACCCACCAGTACAGCCTGCAAATGGTTCAAATATAAGCCATCATAAAATAATGCAAGCTATAATGTGGTGTAGGAAATATAGTAGGGAGCAGAGTATTTAGAGGAAATGACAATACCCAGCCCAGACACGCTGATTACTCCTGAGTGAGAAACATCTACATTTCTGATCCAGTGAAAGTGCACTACAGAACCTGTTATCATGCCTTCAACAATAACATCTTCAACCCGACATATCTGCATTAGAAACCCACAAAAACTGTTATTTTTCACACAAAGAGATCTGACCAATATAAGGATTTCGATTTTTATGGGACTAAAGAAAAACCTGAAGTGTGAAAGCCAGTGACGAATTCAAATTACAATCTTCAGGTGGATGAAGCAATTCCACAGGACAATTTTCAACTTCACAGTAGAGTTGTGGAGTCCTGCCAATTTACAGCAACAAAATAAAATATTAAACCAAATACCGAAATTTGTGCCAAAGCTTTCTTATCATGCATTGCATAAACTTACATGCCATCACCAGCAGCCTCTAAAGGTCCTCTTAGAACAGATCCAGGCCCAATCTTTTCATTTCAAAGATGATAGTTAATGAATTAGTAAAGAAATAATAATAATACAGCTACCCGGTTCAAAGGTCAATAAATCAATTTTAAAAAATTCAAAATCCCAAGTCAAAAATACAAAAGGAACAAGACAATATTTAAGTCTTCTAATAGCTTAAAACTACCAAATTTCAACATCAAATGGTATTAAAAAAATAGTATACAATAAGATTTAATTAATCGAACATAACGAACAGAACTTTCTATCAGAAAAAAAAAAAACCTCAAATAGAATTTTTGTCTAAAATTATAACTTTTCATCTCTTTATTGTGCACTAGACCTATTCAACACTGAATCAACTTTATATGGCACTCTTTAAAGCACCCAAATAGCCTGAGTTTGGTGTTAATCAATTATCAGTGAACCATTTGCATACAAAATAACCCAACTTAAACCTTCAATCTCCCAAATTTCTAAGCCCATTCAGATATCATTAAACCCTAAATTATTGCTTAAAACCCCTAATTATTTATTTTCAACCTAAATCTGCAAAACCTAATTAGAATATTAAGTATCCCACCTTAAACCCTCTTAAACTCTCAACCCACCAGGTTTATAAAACCTCTCTGACATAAACCCTAGTCCATTGCTTTAGAATATCAAGTATCCTGCCTTAAACCTTCAATCCACCAGGTTTATAAACCCATTCTGGCATATTAAATCCTTGTCCATTGCTTAACAATTCCTTTGTCTTTAACTGTCAGTGTAAATTCATACCACCACAAATGGAACTTTAACACTACCAAAAGCTTTCGTAAACGAAAGTCCATAAAAGTGAAGCATATGACTATCCAAGCTTACACATCAAGTGAGCACAAATATCATCTCAACAATGAGAAAGATGAACATTCTTCAATATTAGTTGAAATGGTAAGAAACAGTAAGCGTATAAACAGCAATATGAGAACACAAGACTTTGACTTACATTGATACTATAAAACAATGACAAAATCAGATGTTGCGCTTCAATCAAGTTTCCTGCTCCAGACAAGTTCAAATATCCTTGCCCATGTACTCCCAAATTTGCATTAGAATGAATAACAGATGACTCCTGGTAACCGCCATGGGATTTAGCATCTCACAGTAAGCAATGCAAATTGAAGTTCTGCTAGAAATGAGAAAAATACAAAGGATAACAACCTTGAGAACTACCAAGTTGCTAGCTTCCAGTAAGGATGTTGCAACAATTGGATCACCATTGGCATCTATATACATCTTGGAATTCAACATCAGATGAATCTTGACAGACATTCGAAGAGCTCCATATATCTAATTTTAAAAACAAAAACAAGGGTAAAAGATCATGAATGAAAGACCTCATTAGTCTCCTAAAATAAACCATCTCATCGTGTGAAAGCCCTTGAACCCAAATGAAAAATAACAACTGTTCGTAGAAAAGAGAGGCCTTATAGTTCTACTTGCCTTGACTACAGAGTCACTCATCAGAAGCTCTTCTGCCATTAACTCAAACTCTGATGAACCATAATGAGCAAGCCCAAAGCTTAAAACAGCACCACAAGTCAAACGAATTAGTCCACCAACCTGCAAGTTAATGAAAATGGTTGGATACCTTTAAAGTCTCAAATGTGATTTATGCAAAAGATGGCATCAAAAACACAATACAAAGTTCTTAGTAAAATGCAATCTAACTTCCTTTAAAAGTTCTAATAGTAACTAAATATATGAGATTTGCTTTGTCTGTTGTCTATCAGTTCCTGCAAATTATTTCAACCATATTTATCCCAGCAAAGAAGTTATAAAACAGTGACCAAGAAAAAAGGGCTATATGTAGCCATCCAAATGAAGTAGATTAAACTGTATTTAAGGTTCCAATAGTAACTAATTATTGGCCAGTTATTCTTTCGAATATGTTTATAAAGAGTTTTCTCATCTTATTTGTGTTACTCTTCTCACATGAAAACTTTCTTCTTCTTTTTCCTAATACTAATATATTATTCCATTTGGCAATGAGATCAGTACTTGAATCACCTGAACACGACTCCAATATAAGGGAAATAATGCTTTTGCCTGATTCTGGACATAAACATTTGTCCAAAGAGGCACTTTAGGAAACTCTAATAGAAGAGTATCAGTTTGAGTAGACAAGTTATGATTGCAAATGGTAAGACTCCTAGGAACAGCATCATAATATGTCCCTGCAGCTCCAGCGTTGTCAGAACATCCAAGACTAATACCTCCTGCAAGAACAAGAACAAGCTTCATATGTATGTACTTATTTATCACTTTTGAGGGTTTCCTTTAAATTAAAGTATAAGTGATATGGAGGGCAGGAGTATTGCATTTTTAAAACAGTAATCATCATATCACACCATGAATGAAGAATTTTGTGTTGTCATGTCTACTGAAGACATTAATTGAAACTCGTCCTCCTCCACCGCCAGCAAACCCACAACCTCCAGTGGCACTGATCGTGCCAGTTCCAGTCCTGCACTTGGCAGAAGACATGAATAGTTACAAACTATTTTATTCAGATCAAGCAACATGAAACTACCCAAAAATAGAGAATAAATGAAGCTCGTAAAAGAGATGCAATGTGTGCTTAGTTTCTGCATATTAGAAACTACTCACATATCATTAATCACGACCGTAGAGAATAGACAAATCATTGTCCCCTAGATTCTCTTTAATACTTTTGCTATATTGTTTCTTAGACTCCTCTGTTTCTAGTGATTACACTACCCTGCACCTGACCTTTTCCCATAATTGGGGGATTCTACAAATCTTCACTTGTCCAAACCACTTAAAAGATATAATTTTACCATTTTTTCTACCATTCACGCAACCTCAACTATAACTGCTCCACTCTGCAAACACTCTTTTTAACATTGCACATCACAAACAAGAAATAAAAAGCATTAAAAGATAAAGAGACTCCACCAATCTTATTTACATGCATTTCAACAAAAACAAATAGCAGCAACAATAGCATTCTATGAGAATGAGACCACGAACTGTCAGTGTCACTGACATTGACTACTAACAACAACTAAAACCTTTCCCATTAGCTGAGATCAGCTACACAGATCAATCAACACCATAATATTCTATCACAGATGACATCTATAAACAAACCATTATCCTCTAAATCCTTCATAATAGTTTTTCCAACCCTCCCCATGTCTCTAGTGATTAGGCTACCCAGCATTTGATCCCCTAATTGAGAGATTCTACAAATCTTCTTGACACCAGTTCAAACCTTCTAAGCTGAAATCCATACTATTTGTCTACATTTCGTGCAACCACAACCTTCTCTCTAACATAAACATTCCTATTTTACGGCAACAACAAACACTTATCCACTAGATAAGACAAGCTATATAAATCACAATGTCATCCGGCTCACTTAAAGACCAAAGTTACAGAGATGTTATCATAAAATCCAATTAACATATGCAAAATCAAGATTGAAGGGAAGACACGATACACTACATTCTATGAGCTTTAAGAAAAACGCTGCCACCGGAACCTCCTCCACCCTTGATCCCACCATCCCCTCCGTTTGCAAAGAGATCCCCAGACACATCAACGGAATCAACAATATCAAGCATAATCCTTCCCCCTCCTTCCCCTCCATACTTCTCCTCCTTACTAGTCGTCCCACCCTTACTCCCATAACTCCACGGCTTATCCAGCGACGACCACGAGTATGCATCCCCACCCCACACATCATCCGGAAGCTTCGTATTATCCGAAACACACGTGGCGCCTCTCCCACCGTGCCCTCCGCCCGCCCCCTGCGTCCCCGACGGCGTCCCGCTCGTCTGCGCTGGCGGCGACCCTGCCAGCCCGGTCACGTTTATCACCGAACCGCCGAACAAGCTCGCGTTCCGCGACGCTACCAGCACTGTGCCCGCAACCATAACAGCACCACTCTGCAAACTAAATTCGCCACTCACGTTAATCAAAATCACGCACCCCAACACGGGGCAACTCAACTTCACGCCGGGAAGTATGTTCAAGCTCCCGTTCCCTTCTATGTACACGTCACCGTCGAAAACCAGGCTCGAATTGAGATCGCAGGTGGTGGCGAGCGAGCCAGTCCCGTCGAGACCCTCCTGGCACGTGAGCGAGGGCGGGTGAGGCAACGGCGGCGGCGGCGGCGACGGAGGCGTGTAGTCGCCGTAGAGTGCGTCGAAATCGGAATCGAGGATCGAGAATCCATGCTGCGAGTGGTGAGAAGCTAAAGAGAAAGTAAAGTATAACAGTATTGAAAAGGTAGTTAGGTATGAAAGAGGTTTGTGAAGAGTGTAAGCCATTAAAAAGGAGGCAAACTCATCACAGAGAGGTATAAGGTGGTGAAATCGATCTCCAAGGGACTAGAATAGGGTTTGGGGTTTTGATGAAATGGTGAATTGGAATGAAGAACGAGGAAACTTAGCGCTGAAGAAGACAATCGTGAGAAAAAATAATATAATTTTATACTATTTTTATTATGCTGAGGAACAAAACAAGGTATAAAGAAAATGTAGCAGAGGAAGTTAAGTTAGTGCAGGAATGAGAAAGAGCAGCGAGGAGCGCGGAAAGGGACGAAGAGCGCCTCAACTGAACAGGTGGCTACTACCTACATACGGTGGGGTAACAACACGCGTACGGCACGTGCCTTCTCCTTCTATTATTTTCTCTTCACTTCTCTCTTAGTTGACTCTTTTCTCCCCTCTCACGTTACCACTTTCTCGTTAATGCATTGGGCTCAAGTCTCTGAGTCAAACCACCAGCCCGGCCCATAACACTTGTTCTTTCCTCTACAAAATTAAACACGACTTGAGAAAACTTTAGTACGAAAAAAAAGTTTGTTAAAAAAATTATAAGATGTAATTTTAAAATTATTATTGATCTGGTATTCTCATCACTCACGTTTGTTTAGAACAGAGGTAAAGAGTATACCGAAACGTTTTTTTATGCTCGAAAATTTGAAAAACGAGAATTCATCTTAACTATATTACCACTTTTTATATTAAATGGAACAATTATTATTATAAAAATTAATAAATTTTATTGAAAAATATATTTTAGTAGTTAATTTACATAAATAGCATATGTATAAACTATTTCCCCTTCTGTTTATAAAAATTTGCACTGTTGTGATTACCAACCAATATTATTTACCATTCAATGGTGTTCAAAAAGAATTTTGCAGAATGAAATAAATTGATTGTCGTTTTATATTCACAAAATTATTTTTCTTTATGTTATATTATACTCAATGCGGTTATTATTATCAGTCAGTGAATGTCCTTTCAAAATTTATTCTTTTACGGTACAGCACTAACCCTATTCTTTATGCTTTACTTTTTGTGTAAGAAATTTTAAAAAATATATATTAAAAAATTAAATCTCAACTAAAACTAATATTTCGAAGTATAGAATTTGTGGAAATAAATTCTGCTTCTTGTAATATATATTTTTATATACATCAACTTCAATTTTCTCTTGCATGACTCTATTAAATATTTTGCCTGTACAAAAGCCAAAAATAAAACAAGAAAGACACCATATATTGTTTCACGTCTTATTTCACAAACTAAGGATTAGGCACCGAAATTTCTTCTCCTGTCACACTTCAAATGGGATGCGATTTCAAATATCACCAATTTATTCACTTTTCTTTTCCATGATTATAATTTGTTGGGTCACTCTCGTGAAATTATTCCATGTTTGTAATGATGTCTTGTACATTTTAAGTTTCGAGAGTAAAATTTGAGAATGTAAATATTTGACAAGTAACTTTGTTTCTTTTTTTATATTGTTATTTGACAAGTAACTTTGTTTCTTTTTTTATATTGTTTTTGTTTCTATTGTTCCATATAATTAATATAATCTACACCCTGAATTATTTAAATAGGTAGATTCTTCTAATTTTACACAAAGTTCAAAATGCAGTGAATTTTTAGGGGATTGTAATTCCTTTTTATTGTTAAGAGACTTAGTTTTAATTATTGTCTTTTAATTTGTATTGATTTCTATTTCTTTCTCATGAATAATAAATCCCAAAAATTTATCTACATTTACACTAAAAGCACATCTTAAAGGATTCATTTTTAATATATGACATCTCATTCATTCAAAAGCTTCTTTTAACTTATTTAATTGAAATTGTTTTGATTCAAATTTTATAACTATATTATCCATATAAACTTACATAAAATCTTCAATTAAATTATGAAAAATCAAGTTTATCGCTCTTTTATAAGTTGTTCTAACATTTTTTAAACTAAACGACATAACTATCAATTCACATGTCTCTATGCTTTAATACATTAAAAAACAGTTTTTGAGATATCATTTTTGATAATATATATTTGATTATATCCATCTAAAAGACTCAATATTTTATTTTCCACTACTGCATCTATTAACATTTCAGCATTAGGCATAGGATATTATTCTTTAGGTATTGTCTTATTTAAATCTCAAAAATCAATAATATTCTCATCTTTCAATTCTTTTTAATAATAGGAACAATATTAGAAACTCAATCTACATACTTGGTTGTGCGTATGAATTTAGTTTTTAACAATATTTCGATTTCCTCTTTTATTTTATTCATGACATTCGGTACAAACTTTTGAGTAGTTTGTTTGATAGGTTTTTTCCCTTTAATTATGGGCAACCGATGTTCTATTAAACTTCGATCTAAACCCGACATCTCATCATATTCTCAAACAAAACAATCTTTATACTCTTTAAGCACCTTAATAAATTTTGTCCTCGTATCCTCCTTTAACAACTTAGTATATAAGTAAGTTTTTTCTCTTTTCCATCACCTAAATCCACTTCTTCTAATGAATCATGAGTCTTTACTTTCTTACTCCTTGTTGCATTCGATTTTTCAAATCTTAAAGGCGAAAAATCATAAACATAATCCAACTTAACATCCTCGTTGAATGGATTTTTATTACATACTATTGTTGATGATATCGACTCATTCAACTCGATCCTACTTCTACTAATTGTTTATTGATTCTCTAGCAAATACAATGAACCAACATAGTTCTGCAATCGAGCTAAGAAAATGTCATAATAGGACTTCGTCATTGTCCCCGGTCATCTCGAGGTTGACCTCCTCTCTCAGTACAAATCCTTCATCAACATGCATTTCAACAAACCAAGTCGTATGCACTTTTGAATTGAAATATTCAAGTGTTTCAAAAGTAAATGGTCTGGTCATAGCAAAATTTCTCAAAAGTTTATACACATGTGAAACATAAGCAACAAAATTCATCTGATCCCCTTAAATTACTTCCAATCGTCCATCTCTATTCCACATATAGAGTTTCTGATGAGCAGTTGAAGGTACTGCCCCCACACCATGTATCAATTCCCTTCCCAACAACAAATTAAAATTGGCGTGAGATTTCACACCACAAGCACAATCATCCTTGTATATGTTCCAACTATTATATCAAGGGCTATTATTTCTTCTGAATTCGATGATTTCCCACTAAAATCTGACACTAAAACGTTGTTCCTTATTAAATATTCTTCTTTTTTACCAAATCTTTTCAACATTAACTTTCTATTTATTATAACACCTTCATTTTCTATTTTTAGCATCAAAGGTTTAAGATGAAACCTCATCTTCTCACTTAGAAGATCTATAATCGTTGCATTCTTGAGGTGACTCACATGAAATTTGATTGACCCATATTGTCTTTGTTTGTTATAAGTAGGGATGATAATTAAATTTGTGCCCGTGGGGACTGATCCATCCCCGCCCCAAGTTTGACGGAGAAAAACCAAGTTGACCGAGAATGGGGATGAGTTTGGGTTTTTCCCGCTTTAAAAGGTCGAGAGACCGAAATGAATAATGCAATCTCCACCCCGACCCCGACATTTTTCCCGTCCTAACTATATATTTAAATTTAAATTTTAAAATATTAATATTTTAAAAATATTTTATTTTCTTATTTTATTATATATAAGGTTATTTTTTTATATTTCACTATTTTTACTTTTCTTCTACCCACTTTTTAATTTTTTTGTCTTTTTAATCTTTTATATCAATTAATTTATTACATTATTATTTTTCTCTTATCTCTCAATTTTTCACATTTCCTTATTCTCTCCAATCAATTTTTTTTTCAATCTTTTCAACCAATTTGATAAATACAAAATTAACTTTTTTTTCTTCTTTATCTTTTTTTAAATATTTTACATAAATCTTAATAGTAACTAATATTATTTTATTTATAATTTATATTTATTATATTTTATTATGTTATATTTTTTTGAATCTTATTATTCTTATTTGTCATATATCAAATTTTATCTTAATAAAATAATTATATTTTAAAGGATTAAAAAGAATTAATAATTTAAACTTTTATTACTTCGAATTAATTAAATAAGAATTAACTTATTAAATATTTCTTTATAAATTATATATTTCATATTTTTAAACCACAACTTAAAAATGAATTATATACTTTGTATTTTTAAATGACAACTTAAAAATGAATTAAAATATATGTAATAAAATATTTGAATATAATATTTTTATAATAATAATGTTATAAGTATTATACAGTATTATAATAATAATAATAATAATAGTATTATAAATATTCTATATATGTATAAATAAAAATAAAAAATATTTATTTTACAAACATATTTTAATATAAATATAATAAATTAATATATATATATATATATATTTAATTATTAATAATTACAAATTGTAAAATTATAAATATTTATTTATGTATAAAAAATACATAAAAATAGTAAAATTAATTTATTATAAATATAATTATTTTTTTAAAATAATATTGATCGAGAACGGGGTGGAGAAACACAAAATCCAATGGGGACTGGAGATGAGGACTTGATTTCTAACTCCGACGAAAATCGGAGACGGGGACAATTAAAAAAATTAGGGACGGGGATCGGGGAGGCAAAACCCACCCTCGCTCCCAGCCCATTACCATGCCTAGTTGTAAGTTAAATTCATAATAATCTTCTCGATTTGAATCATATATTCATTTGGCAAAATCGATATGACCCCTCCATTCACATTTTGTTGTTGAAGATTTGCACTTAATCTTTCTCCTTGGTTAATAAAGGTATTTGTATACACTTGACCACCTTGATTCGATCCCCTTGATCCATTGACCTCCCTCTATATATTCTTTTTCAAAAGGGTTGCGCCATGTTTCCCTTCACCCAACGGCTTTTACGACGAAATTCCCTTGGAAATTTAGGATAACCAGTGTGAAAATCGGGATTGTATGATAATCTGTCAAAAATATTTTTGCTCTTTGGACCATATGTATTTCAACGACTAAAAACTCTATTTACAACCAACTCTTTTTTCCTCATCTATGGATATGTTTAATAATTCACAAAGTGTTTGGTGTCATCCCTTAATGAAATTTGTAGACTTTGATCTTGACATTCCACACTTTATTTTTGCTTCTCATTACCTTTTGCCTTTTGATTCTTTTCAAGTTTTTTTGCCGCAATTTTATTAAATATTGCACTACATCTCGGACATAATGTTACTTCTTCATCTTTTCCTTTCTTACGAATTAAGAAATCAACCAACGTATCCTCCACTCTAGGATATATCTCATCTTCTATTTCAAAATATTCTAATTCCAATTTAAACTCGGCATCATAATCATCATCTAATTTAACATGTTGTGGATTAATATCTTCTATAGTGATGTCAACCATATGAATTCCTAAATCACTCACGAAATTCTCAACACCATCAGTAGTGTTAAATTTGACTTTCACATACCCCACAAGAGCCTTGAAAGGATCAATATCCACCTTCATTGGCTTCTCTTCAAATTTCAATCGACCTTGTTCAATAACATCCTATATGATATTCCTGAAATGAATACAATTGTTAGTCTAATGTCCATATATATTATGAAACTTGCAATATTTTTTACCTTTCCTATGCTCTAAAGAAGGTAATTTATGATCCTCATTCAATTTTATTTGCTTGTCTTTTTATAGAATATCAAAAAATTTATCTGCCTTTATTACATCAAAATTATAAGTTCGATTTGTCATTTAATCAGAAACTTCACTTTTTTTGTAATAATAATAACTTATATACATAAGGAGGACCTATTTTTATTTCATCTACATTTATTTTCTCTTCACTTTCACTTAATTCTCCTTCCTCATTTTCTACTACAATATCTGACCATTTATTAAAATTATCTAATCTAACATATCCAATTTTATCTCTTTTAACCACCTTACCAAATTTATTATACCTTTCTTTCTCATATCTAATATGTTCGATTCTCTGAACTTTATCTGCTAATTATGCCATATTTCTCGAAAGCGTATTTATTAACTTTTTTCTTATCAAAAACTCTAAACTTGTTGTTATTCTCACTACCTCTTTTTCAGGAATTTGTGTAAAACATCTTGATCACATTTGTCTAAATATATTCAAGTAATCGTCTATATTTTCATTATGATATCTTTTTACATTCATCAAATCAATTAAACTAACTTGGATTTCTTCTCTAAAAAATTACTCATGGAAATTTTTCTCTAACTATGCTCAATTAAACATAGAATTCGGAGGCAAGGTAGTAAACCAAGTAAAAGCATTTTTTATCAGAGAGCTTGAAAAGTATTTCATCATTAAATTTTTACTTGTTAATAAATTCTCACACTCAATTTGATACCTAGCTATGTGTTCGACGGTAGAATCTCCAATATCACCCCCAAACTTTGTAAATTTTGGGATTTTTTGTCCTCTAGGAAACTCTACTTCTAACACAAAATCAAGAAAAGAAGAAATAAAATAGCTGATTATATAATCTCATTCCTTCATCCAACTGATTCTATTGTCTGATTACTTGATTATAAGCATTTTGTTGATAATTCCCCCCATTGTTTTGATTCCTTTTTATATTATCCCAAACATGCAAAATTTGATATGCATTCTGACCTCTATTGACCATTTTAACATCTCTCTACCAATTATCATTGTTCCTTCGCATATCTTGATTATCATTATTTTGTCTTTTAGGGGGGTTCGTTTTGTTGATTATTTCTTGCTGGTATATCATCATTTATTATGTTATTCCTCCTACGAAACGCAAGTGCATCTCCTATCCTTGTCATTTGTTCGGCTAGCCTTTGAAAACTATCAACAATTGTTTGAACTAATGAATTTAAAATAATGGTCATTTGTTGAGATAACATATTGACTATTTCATAATTACTATCATCCATTTGCTGTCTTATAATCCTTAACATGTTATTGGATATTCCAGTGTTTACATTATTAGAATCACCTTGACCATTTCCAGTATTCCCCTACCATTATTCCCCAATCTCAAGTGATCTTGACTTCGATCATTCATCCTATTAGCACCTGAAGTTGGTTGCCATGGTGGCATTCCCTAGGGATATCTTTTCGCTATTGGAATTCCCTGATTATTATTATAGCTTGATGTGTTCCCACTATTTATATGTAATATTATGTGTTGACTGAATAGGTTCTTGACCACTTTGATTTCATTTGTTCTGCACTTCTGCTCACGTTTTGACTTTCATTAGTATTAACACTAGGTATTACCGTAAAATTTGGCATCGATACTGAAACTTGTGAATTTGATTTGTCATTATGACTCTACCACTTCTTGAAATATCATGCACTAATGTACCTTTCTCGTCCCACTAGGTGGTAAAATTTATTTTAGTATAAATAATTCGTTGTTCAATATAATTAATATAATTTACGCATTAAATTACTTAAACACTATATGAGTTTTTCTAATTTCACTCAAAGTTCAATACGCAATAAATTTCAATGAAAGATTATTCACATTCAACTTTTATATTTAATACCATATGAAACATTTAGAATAACTTACAAAAATAATAAAAGAACTGTAGAAATAAATGACTGAAAAAACAAATATACAAGAAACTAAATAACATAAAAATAAATACAACTCATTATCAATGATAAAACAGAAATTAATAGAAAAAACAACCAAAGTGACAATCCAAATTACAAAGAACTTATTAAAAATGTTTATTCCCAATTCACTACGTTTTTTCAGAATGTAAATTGTACAATTTGTAATTGTTTCACCTTATTAATACACGTTCACTTGTAACTTGAACATTCTACAAAACTTGTTTTTACCTGTCTTCATCAATCTTTCGATGTTTTCTCTGTAACTTCATCTCGATATATTCATGTTTATTTTTTTACTATTTAAATTTTTAATTCCTAATTTTTTGAAGTTATTCTCTTTTAATTTTTGAATTTTCAATTTATTAATATTTTATCTTTTTTCGAAGAACTCACTCTCACTCCTAACTACTCTTCTAGAGGTGATTTCTTTTTCTAATCATTTAACGTTCTATCATCCTCGATTTATCTTTACATCTTTTTATAATTTTTAGACTTAACAGTTTTATAATACCATTATATCATGTCTATGCCTACGTTGCACAACATGTAAACATAAGACTTCGAATATGTTAAAATATATTTTTAATTTACATAACTTTTTTATGAAAAAGAAATATATTAAGAGATGATATAACACATATTTGTAAAATAAAAATACTTATATATATATATATATTTTTTTCCTGAAGAGAAAAAGTTTTTATAATGGTTTACAAATATTTAACATCTACTTTTAATTAATTATTAGCCTTTATTTATTTATGTACACTAATTTCATTTAAATAATTGTAATTTTCTATAAAATATTTTCATATAATAACTTTTTGTGTACTAAGTTTAATTAATTTAATCATTGAATATTTTAATTATATATTACCAAGCATTCATACTAACATTTAGAAAATTTAAACATTTTTTTATTTAATCTTATATTTAACATTTACTCGTATTTTAAAATTATATTATACATTGATTGGATTTTTGTAATGAAGAATTAAATCATTTAAATTTAATTAAAAAAACTACTCAGTAAAATTTTTAATTAAAAAATATTTAATTCCGAAGAGTCGAACCGAGATTTCCATTTTAATTGTCTTGAAAATAGTTTATTGAAATTTTGGTAGAAATATTAATCTGAATCTATATTTTACAAAGATTTCAATTTAAACAAATCTTCATTTATGAGATTCTACATCCATAATTCCATTTTGAGTTATTTTTACCAAGTACTATAAAATTTCAAATGAAATAAATTTCATTGTTATATATATTTTTACTAGAATAACAATCACTATTTCTGTTATAATAAAATTGTCCATCTTTATTTCACAGAGAGAACAATTTTAATTATGATTAAAATAATAATTTTTTACAAGATATAAGTTTTGATAAGAAATGAAGATTGAAAAAAAAACTAGAAGATCAAGAGAAGAGTGCATGGAAAGTGAATTAAACAATATATATATATATTTAATAGAATCAATACATATACCGTCATTTTGAAAGTGATTCAATATGATAAACAATGACTATTAAACATCTTATTTAAAAATTCTTACACTATCAATTCTAAGCTTTCAACGTGTATAACCACAAGTTTTTAATCTCTATTTTCCGAGAAAATTCATCCTTAATAGATTGAAATTTATGACGATTTTTAATAATTGTTATTTTCTATGCTGAGAAGAGTTATTCTATCAAAACTCCCTTCTCATGCTTTTTGGTCTTCTTCTAGATGAAACATCAACAACTTAATTATGGATATTCCTTTAAATGCTAGATGCTAGGGATGACAATGGACATGAAAGTTATTATGGGAAGATAAATTGTGAAAGTTGATTCACCATCACCATCTAAGCTTGGCAGGGAAGTACTGCAATGCAAGTGACGAAAGTAAGAGAAAATAAGAACCGCATATGTATAGCTACAAAAACAATGAAGAAAATAAAATGAAATATCTCACTTTCTCAATCAGTGACATATAATATGGCTTAACTTCCTCCACATCAATTAGAACTTTGCTCTTGCTATAGAGATCATATTTGCTGCATTCATGTACAAATTTATGTGTTATTTACAGGGTTGATTCTGTGGTGAGAAGAAGCTAGCTCATAGTGAAATTTAAATAAATATACATACAAGTCAAAATTATGATACTTACTTGAATATTTTGAGCCATTTCAAATTCTCAACATCTTCTTCATTCATCAAGTGAGTGTATGCACCTTCCTTGTGTAGAGCTGCAAAATTAATTACACTTTGTAGTCATTGCATAGAAGACTAAAAAAAAAAAAAAGACCATATATATGATCGGTGTCAAAACTACTTACGATAGAAAGAGTGAAATCTGATAATGAACAATCCAGCAGATGGCAAAGTGCTGCCATTTTGCTTAGCAACCTCCACATTCAAATGCACCAACATGTATGCATGCATGCATTATATTAGATCTTTTACATCTATATATATATCATAAGAATATATACATACATATACATGCATATATACATATATATATATATATATATATATATATATATGTATGTATAGCATCGAAAACTTCGTGTTATATGCATGCATAGGCTCACCAAATACATGTATTCATCATGTCCCCATGACATCATTACGTTGTTTAGCCCACAACCTTCTGTGTAGATCCCATTTTTGGTTTTATATGCAGGACATTCGTTATCTGGGTTGTTCTTGAAATACTGCATCCATCAAGAATGCAATTAGGGTTTTCACTGATAATCAATTACAGAATAAACTGTTTCTTAATTGATGATGAAATTTATTACCTTATGGTGAATATTTGACTCGTCAAAGGCACACCCTAGGGGAAATGTATCTCCTGCAAATATCCCATTAAAGATTCTACTCAATCAGATTGTTGGATTCAAATTTCAAAACAAATTGGAATCAAGAAGAAGAAGAAGAAGAAAAAGAAAAACTAAAAAATTATGATTATGATGAAAAGGATAGAAGAAAGGTTCTCACCAACAACAGCCCATTGAGGAAGCTCACCAAAGTTAGGAAGAAGAATGATCTTTCCAAGATCTGAAACGTGCGAACAATATCATATTAAAAATATCGATATTACACTGGAAATTAAAACATTCTAAAAATGTCGCATAGAACAAAATCATTCAAAGGGTGTGTTGTACACAGTACCATGGATGAGAGCGGTCAAATGCAACCAATCTTGATCTGGATAGTCTTTTCTAATGGCCTCAGCAGATTGCAGCAAATGCTGAATTTGAGGTTCATCCAAATCTGGATCACTATCATCCACCACATCATTCAGCAGTTCACAACATTCCCATATGCCCATTTCAGCTTTGTCCAATTTCACATATTTCTCCCTCATTCCCTTAGCCTGCATCCAAATCAATCATTATCAGCAATTCGCAAATTGTACTTTAATAGAATCGTTTTTCCTTTCTTTGAAAATGGAAATCTCCAATTAATCTCAAATATCTTACAAAATCATATGTCTGGTTTATGTGTTGCAACCTATAAAATTCCTCCACACATTTTTTCCTTTCACTTTCAACATCATAATCTCTGTCAGATAGTATTTCAATAGCCCCGTGTCAGTTTCATTAAAAAAGACTATAGGTACCTAAGAACAAAGCATAAAACCTGAAAGAGTGGCCATATGAATTGATATCTGGAGCCATAAAGCCACCTTCTGCATCATTCTTTGACAAGTTATTCCCTACTTGTGACACTAAAGCATACATGCAATTTGACCATGATACATCATTAATCTGTGCCATATATATAAGAATAAAGGATCGAATATCAGATCTAGCAAACAATGATGCTTACCAAATGCGGGTTGATCATTGAGGATGGTCATTTTGTCCTTCACTGATGCAGAGAAGAAAAGAGGGAAAAGAAACGACAAGAAAATGGATGTGGCAATGATATTGTTTGGCAAAAAGAGTATTTATAGTCTCATGGATTCCGAACCTTCCACTCCTCGTCTATGTAACTTAAAATCTTATTGTGATTGTAAAATGTCAAAGTGAAACTTACTATAGGACGTTCCATTACGACAAAAAATAGAATGTTACTTCTTTTGGCCCATCAGTGACATTTGTTACCTTTTCATGACCACATGTGAAACAACAAGAGTTACCAGCATAATTTTTTTTTGGTTGGTAAAAATTATTTACAAGAATTATTAACTTATTATCATATTAAATTATTTAATAAAAATAAATTTTATTACTTAGAAAGGTTAATTCACCTCCTCCACAAGAAAGTTTTCGTAAGAAATTTAACTAAATCATTCCAAAAAATATATTAGTTTTTATGAATATTATATTTTAAAAAGTAAACCAAATGTGAATAGAATTCCAACTCCCAATTCATCGGAAACTAAAAGTTTTTATTCTACCACGCACCTACTAGAAATAATTCTAAATTTTTCCATTAATAAGATCATGACATGATTAATTTCTATATTCTATATATAATTTCAAGTCTATTTTGTATATTAAATATTATGTATTTTCAAAATATCAAATATATTTACCTTTTAATGTAATTATTTACTTTCTTAAGTTAATATTTAAAAAATTATACTTATTTAACTTTTTAAGTATATATATATATATATATATATATATTTAATAATTATTGTTAATATATAACATATTTATAAAAACACTCCAAACATACAACATGTTTCCTCAAAACCAACTTTAATTTAAAAGAAAGAAAAAGAAAAAGATAAAATTTATTTGTGACATGAAATTATACAAATAACACCACAATTTTAACTCATAATTTAAGGAATCACTTAAAACTTTATAATATAACATTTTTTTCAAGAAGAGTATCTAATTAAATCTAACAAAATTCATTTAATAAGGTAAAAATTTTACTCATCAACACACTTTTTGCATTGAGAAAGATTTTTATGTCTCAGCATTATTATAAAATTCATTCTGGTACCATATTAAAAATAGAGAATTACCTAAAATTACCAATAAAAAAAACATTTGTCTTTCGAGGCACTCTAGTAAGCAATTTCAATAGTTTATTCATGAGTTTATAAAAGAATTATAGGTGAATAAATAGATGTTGCATTTCAATAATGAATTGCAATCTAATACGTTTGTTTATAAAATAAAAATACAAATAAATTGATAAATTCTTCGGTTGTCGGAATAATTAAAATTATTCTCCTCAAATCCATGACGTCAAATGAATCACCATTTAAGCTTTGAAGGAAAGTACTGCAAGTAAAATAAACAAAATAAGAACACAGATTGAAAAAATATGAATAAAAATAAAATAAAATTGACTAAATCATCAATATAGTTGGAATTTAACTCTCACTTTCTCAATGAGTGATATATAGTATGGCTTAACTTTCTCCACATCAACTAGAACTTTACTCTTAGTGTAAAGATCATACTTACTGTACAAAATTACCAAAGAAGATTTGTGTGAGAAGCCGTAAAAAATTATGCACAAATGAACAAATTCACACAAGTTAAAACAGAAACATACTTAAATATTTTGAGCCATTTCAAATTCTCAATGTCCTCTTCATTCATCAAGTGAGTATATGCACCTTCCTTGTGTAAAGCTACAACATTATGTTACAGACATTATATATCAAGGATAGAGACAAAAAAGCAAAGATTGTAGATAAAAATTTGAGAAAAATGCTTACGATAGAAAGAATGATATCGAATAATGAATAATCCTGCATATGGCAAAGTGGTGCCATTTTCTTTAGCTACCTGCATAATTTCAATGTTTATTCATATTATTACATCATAAATAAAGTGATATATATATATATATATATATATATATATATATATATATATATATATATATTCTGCTAATGAGCATTATATCGTCTAAATGTTAAAATTAAGGATTATTTATATACATATTTTAATCTTAACTCATTGAAACATTTTATAAAGACAAAATCGTAATAGAGAAATTGATCCTAATAATGATTCTTAGAGAGAATATTTTGTTGATTGTATTTCTTAGTCGTGGACCGAACGACTTATATTTCTGAACTCATGACACACTCCATGTTCACTTACACCTCTCATAGTCCTCGACAAAAACAACTCATGTCATACTCCGTGAAAGATAAAAAAATGTATATAAAATTTGAAACATAAGAATGACAAACTCACCATGTACATGTACGCATCATGTCCCCATGCGATGGCTACTTTGTCTAGTCCACATCCTTCATCGTAGATCCCATTTTTAGTGTTATAAGCAGGACATTTGTAGTCAGGGTTGTCCAAGAAATACTGCATCAAGAATGAAATCAGGCTAGTTAATAATTTAATTAAGATTAAAAAGTATTGCCCTTAACATCTTTCTTGGGAGAATTTATTATTACCTTATGATGAATATTTGACTCATCAAAAGCACAACCTACAGGAAATGTATCTCCTGCAAAGATTCCATTAACCATTCAATTAAACTAAAATGTTGGATTCCGATTTCAAAACAAATTAGATTCAAGAAAAAAAAAATGTTCTCACCAACAACAGCCCATTGAGGAAGCTCACCAAAGCCAGGAAGGACAATAATCTTTCCAAGATCTGAAAATTCAACAACATCATGTTAGTCTTTATTGGTTTAAAGTATCTTTCTTTCCCCTGCAGTTGGGGGTATTTTCATATAGAAAGAGTGAGATCCAAAAAGTAAAATCGGGTCTAATATAAGAATGAGGATAACTATCCATTCCAAATTATAAATTGAACTTTTAGCAAACAATGTTGCATATATTAAAAAGCAAAAGAGAAAAACTAATACACTTATAACAAATTTTCTTAACTTTGTAACTCAGAATTGCAAAATTATATAACCAAATTCAAAGGGTATATGTACCATGGATGAGAGCAGTCAAATGCAGCCAATCTTCATCAGGGTAGTCTTTTCTGATTGCTTCAGCAGTCTGTAACAAATGTTGAATCTGAGGTTCGTCCAAATCAGGGTCACTGTCATCCACAACCTCATTCAGTAGCTCACAACATTCCCATATACCCATTTCAGCTTTGTCCAATTTCCCATATTCCTCCCCCATTTTCTTCACCTACATTTTAGTGAATTTGATTTTCATTAACATTACATTGCATATTATTCTTTAGAAATCTCCAACAAACACATAATTGATGGAAATAATGAAACATTGTTTTGCTTACAAAGTCATATGTCTGGTTTATGTGTTGCAGCCTATAAAATTCCTCAACACCTTTTTGCCTCTCGCTTTCAGCATCATAAGCTCTGCCATGTATTTCAATAGTCCCAACTCAGTTTCATTAAAAAGAAACTTTAAACCTTCTCCTATTAACTATAAATATTAAAAATCTAAAGAAAATTTGAATTTGAAAAAACCCAAGATCAGAAAATATGGAATGGAATTAAAACCTAAAGGAGTGGCCAAATGAATTGATTTCCGGGGCCATAAATCCATGCTCTGTCTCATTTTTTGGCACTGGAAATCCACCATTCACAACAAGCTCATTGGTTTCAACAGCATGCACATTTTCCCCTTCAACTTTTGACTCTGAAAAGCATGTGACACATACAAATGAGATATACACATACAAATGTAACACTAGGAACCAAAATAGAAGAAATGGAAAAACAATCATACGAAGAAGAACATGTTGGTCAATGAGGATGGTCATGTTCTCCAGCACTGAAAACCAAGGAGGAAGGAAGAGAAGAAAAAACTAGAGAATGAAGGAATGTGTATGAAAATGGATGTGCCAACCTAGTTTGTCAAGAGGGTATATATAGTCCATGAAATGTCCTTTCTTGGGAATTTGGAAGCTCAGAGTCCTCAACAGCAAATTTTAATTACAGACTAAAATATGTTTTGTACGTGTGACAGAAATAGTAGCATAACGAAAAGAAGATAAGCATGAGTCAGCATTACGTAGGAATGAATCATATCTCATTGTTGTGAAGTTTGACGAGACGAGTAATGTTTTAAATCTCATTAATATATTTTCTTTCTACTGCATTTATTATTTATTAAAATCATAGATGATTATTGTTTCATATATAAATAAATTATTATATAGTTTTATTTCTATCTTTGATTATTATAAAAGTAAATGTCGACAAATAAATAATTAAAATGTTAAAAATGACATATAGGATTTTTTTATTAAATATCTTTAAAAAATTATTAAAGTTGTTAAAAATATTCAATATATTTTTTATTTTTTATCATGTTGATTTTTATTGTATTTTGTGTTGATCAAACATTAGTTATTTATTTAATTCTCAATAATTCATTATTCATTCCATAATGTTTCTCCCTATCATATATATGTTATACAGTGATGATATAATTGTATTGATATAACGTTCTTAAATAATAGTATTATAGAAGAGTGTTAAAAGTTTTAACATATTTTTAAATAATTTATATTATGGGACTAATTTTGTAATGTTTAATACATGGAAATTAATAATATATACATTAAAGAAAGCGCGTGAATTTGCTTTGATAGGGACCACTGTGTACAGAAATAGTGGAAGTTGGAACGCAAGTTCATATGTGAATTAGATATATATCACATGGAATACCAAATTTATGGCTCTTTATATCACCACGTGTTAAAAATGCTGAATTGAGCTATCACTAACCTCGACTATAAAGAGTGGTTTAAAAATAAAAATAAATATTTTATTATAAATTCATAAAAACTTAAAAAGTAATCTGTAACTTTTTTTATATATATAATTTTAAACATTTTTTTAGTAATATAAGGTTGATAATAAAAATTATCTTTTTATTTTTAAGTTATTTTTATTAACATATTTTTATTATTTATGTTTAACAAAAATATGTTTTCATTTAATTCTTTAATCTATATAATAATAATAATAATAATAATACATCATTAATATATTTAATTTATTTTGATAATATTATTGATACGTTATTACATATTTTTTATTTATTATCTTAATATTTTTATTTTCATACGATTTTAAGTATCGAAATATATTTAAACATTCCATTATTTTTTATGAATCTCGTCCTAATAAATTTTAAGATATTCATTCTTTTTTTTGTCCGAATTATTAATCGATGATCATTTATTATATATTTTTGAAATAAATAATCAACATTTTTTATATGAATATTATATTTTATTGATTTTTTATTTATATTTTTATTATTATAACTACAAAGAAAAATTATATTTACTTTAACATATAAAAAATAATGATTCTTTGATAAATAAAAAATTAAATATATTTTTTACAAATAAAATAAAGAAATTTGTGTAATTAACTTTAAAATATAAGTGAGATGTATGTTATTTATTAAAAATATAATAGAATTAAAAATACAGTGTGATTATCATTTTATTAAAATAAATAATTGTTTATTTCAAATAAATGAAGATGCAAATAACTTTAAAATTATATACCTAAAATATCCTGTTTTGAATATATCGAATTATGTATCATTGATAATTTAATGAATATCTGATTTTTTGTTTAATTAAATAGACTTTTTTTTAATTGAGCAATATCAAGTATATTTAAAACTATGTATATTTCGATATCTTGTACCCACTTTTTTTTAGAATTTTTTTTATGGACTAACTTATGAGTTATCAAAATGGATTATCCAATCTATTTTGGTTTGATCTAAAAGTTATGTAAAAAAAATTAATGATATAATTTGACTTATATTTTTAAATGGGTTATATTTTTTTCTAATATAATCTTATATTAAGTTCATGAATTAATATAATTTTATGTTAGATTAAACAGACCAATTTTGATTTAATTTAAAATTTTAAAAAATTACTAACATCTTTATATAAAAATAATTAATTAAAAATATTTAAATAAAAAATTAAATTATAATTTAAAAGTAAATTATATTGATTAAATTAATTATTATTTAAATATAATTATTTAATATATAAATTATAAAAACAAATTTTATTTAGTCTTAAAATAAAATTTAAAAAACTATCCTTAAAAAATAGAATTGTAAAGACTTCTTATAAGTAAGTTTCTTATTAAATTAATTTATAATATATAAATATTAATAAATTAATATTATAATTTAAAAAATTATTATTATTTTATAAAATAGATTATTCAATAAATCTAAAAATTAAATTATTATTATTTTATAAAATAGATTATTTAATAAGTCTAAAAATTAGTATGATCTAAATTTATATAATCTAATTTAATTTAAGTAACAAATTTTTTAACATATTTTTACTTATTTATCGAATTATCATATTACACTCATTTTAATCATCTTACTTAAATATGTAAGAGAAACTTTATATATATATATATATATATATATATATAATAAAAATACAAATTATTTCCATATTTTTTTATAAAAATATAATTTATATAATTAAAAATTCAGTTATTAGATAATTATCACAATAAAAATAAATTACTAAAATAATAAAATTTAAATGGTAGGAAAATGTATTAAAAATAGTTATAAAAAGGAATCATTAATAAAACATTAAAATTACAATGGTAAAGAATTTTGTAAAAAAAAAAGAAAAACTGATATGAAAATGAATCTTATTGTTAACAGTTCTAGATTATATAATTTGTTTCAAAATAAAATCGCAATGGGTGAACTGAGAAACGAAAGAAAAGAAAATGGAACCAAACATGTAGATGATGAGCCCATCATTCACAATGTTCGGCGTTGATTGAGTCCAAGTGTTGCTAAAAAAAACGAAGAGTACAGGTTTAACCAAAAAAAAAACTCAAAACAAACAAAGCCCTAATTCTTATTCTTAAACCCTAAGTCACTCATCCGTTCGAAATCTGGATCACGTTTCTGAATCAATATTTTTTATTTTTTTTACATGCACCTCCAGAATAAAATTAAATTTTATTTTATTTGTATATTTATTTTCATCTTTATAAATACTTATTTATGAATTTTAAATATCTTATTTATTAAATTATTTTTATTCTTCTTTCTCTCATTCGTCGAAGAGTTGGGAAAAACACTTACGGTTCTCCAATTCAATTATCTTTAATTTATATCAAATTTAACCGCGTATATTATTGTTACAACAACAATTTTTACTAGAAACACGTTTTTAAGATTGGGAGTACCGTTTCCAAAAAACAAAAAAAACATGTTTTGGAAAATAGATATTTTATAAAATTAATTTCAATAATTATTATATAATTTTTTTCAAAATATATTTTTAGATTAACTTTTTTAAAATCCTCAATTTAAAATGTATTTTTAAATTGATTTTTTTATAAATACATTCTACATCCAGAATACATTTCTAAAAAGACCAATCACAAAATATTTCAAAATAAATGTTTTATAACTTATTTTAATTTTCACAAAATTATTTATTAATACGTAATTTTATAATAATAATATATAATATTATTGAATGCTCATTTTTAAATGTCAGAAAGTATATTATACGGAGGTGATAAAGATAAGAAATCAATTTTTTAAAATATGCAGAATTTGTTCAGAAAAATAGGAGAAGGAGATAAAAAATTATTAAAAAGATATCTTAATTATTTTGCTTTTGAGTATGGAGGTGTGGGGATACAGTGTCTTCTTTTTCCTATAAAGCCCACATTAAGTGCATATTTCGCGCCCATCTTTATCAAACAATGTTTTTTTTTTCATAAAATTCACAAAAATAAAATATAAAAATTAGGAGAGTCTAAAAATAAAAATGTCAAAAACACGTTTTTTCCTCGGTCTAACTTTAAAAGAAATATATTTTAACCTAGTTTTATTTTAAAATGTGATATAATTTTTTACCTAACTTATCTTTATATTAGGCTATTAAGTTAATGAATAAATTTTAGTTTGATTAAAATAATAATAATATATCTATATCAAAATAATTAATTAAAAATATTTAAATATAAATATAACATTTTTTTAAATTTTAATATATATTAATAAAAAATATTTTAGATATAATAATTTAATAAAAAATTTATTTAATTCCAAAATAAAAGTTAGTAACTTACTCAAATTGTCATAATTGATTTTTTAGTAATTTAATAAGTTTTAAATTTTTAAATCTTTGAATAAAATGAATAAAATAAAATATATTTAATTTAATTTAATTTAAATCATAATTTTTTTTAAACATAATTTAATCTATTCTCACACCTCTATCTAAAATAAAAAACATGTTAAACTAGAATCTTAAAATATATTTAAGATGTCAGAAAATTATTGGCAGAGTTAAAAAGTTCTATAAATAGATAGATATAGATATGTACACTAAACCAGTCTAATGAAAAGACACATAGCCTATAGGACATAATTAGATAGACACATTGTTATGACATTAAAAAAATGAGCCAATTTCATGGGCTTATAGACCCACGCACCTCCCCAGCCCTAGCATCAAAAAATTAGGTTGGAATTATTCCGGTTCAGTTAGGTAACATGATTTCAAATTTCAATCATTTTTCTAAGTCAATAATCCTTTTTTTTTAAATTAAATAACATTTGTTCAAGGATTGAATCAAACCAATTAAAAAGTCACTGAATTGATATAGTTCAAATTAAGCAATATAACTCGCCAAACTTTAAAATTGTTGATATTTAAGAAATACTTTTATATATAAAATGACTAAATATATTTTTTTACAACATGAAACTTAACGA